TATATATACATATATATATATAAGCTCTGGTGGCATAAGGCATTTGACTGCTAACCAGAGGGATGGCAGTTCAAACCCACCCAGCCACTCCTGGGAAGGAAGATTAGGTGATCTACTTCTGTAGTGATACTATCTTGGAAACCCAAGGAGGGGTCGCTGTGAGTCAGATCCAACTCGATGGCAGTGAGTTTGGTTGTATACACACACACACACACACACACACATATACACACCAGTTGCACTCTAAATATTTATTAAGGTTTACTTGGAGAACTGGTTAGTCTTTTCAATTCATGGTGATCAGTGTCAGTTTTTTAATAGATATTTGTATTTTCCAAAGCAAACACCTTCCTGCAATTCCTATTTTTGTAAATGAGTCCTAAAAATTTGCACCCAAGACCATGGAAGTCAATAGGTATCATCTGAAGACCTGTAACAACCATAGCAACCACTGCTGATTCTTTGGATAATTTAGAGAAATATGCAGTTTGGGTCTGATGGTCCTTATCACTGCTTTGATTCCCTTCTCTGGGGAGAACTAGTTGTACTGTTACAGTAAAACATGTTATGACTATTATTCAACAGTTTAGTTTTGTACTAGACATTAATTGTATTCATTTCCTTATTTTTCAGGAAGAGAAGATAATGACTATTTTTCTCCTGAACTTCTTGTGCTGTATTTTGCATCCTCCTTAATAATACCTGCCATTGGAATGATCATTTACTTTGCAAGAAAAGCCAACATGAAAGGGTCATACAGTCTTGTAGAAGCACAAAAATCAAAAGTGTAGCTAATGTTTGAAATGTTCAGTCAGAGACTGTATTTATTAGTTCAAATCCTTGACACTGCTCATCATCCCATGGGAAAAACAACCAGCTGAGAGTTCAGACTTCCTTGAATATAATGGATGTGTGGAAAGAAATAGCTGCTTGTGCCCCTTGCTGTGAGCAAAAAGCCAAAGGAAAACTCTCTACCTGGAAAAATAGGCACTGCCATTGAGATATGATGACTGGGGCAGTTCCTTGATGTGTATATACAATAGCATGATATGTAAATATGTAAAATAAAATTATCCCATAGAAATATTGTTTGGAATAGCAGCACTCTATATTGAAATCTCCAAAATAATCCAACAGTGTTGCTTGAACTAATTATTATAATTTAATGCATTTTAGAAAAATTTAACATTAATATTGACTGGCAGCTGACTTATGTCACCTTTTTTATGTTTTATTTTCTATACAAAATTTTAATCCTATAAAGTTTATTGGCAATCACTTCATATTTTGTAAAAATACCCAGGTTCTATATTTTTATAGGAAATGACAAACTAAGAGGGCACTGGCTTGACTTTCAGGTACTAAACACCTCAACCTATAATGGTATAATGGTTGACTGGGTTTCTCTGTATGGTACTGACATGGTACGGAGATGTTTTACGATGTTACTCATGAGACTGTTACATAACTTTCCTAATGTAGTCTAAAAATGCAACTTCTTTTGAGTTTCTTTTATAAGTGCTTAGATTTTTGGATAATAAAGTGCTAATTTCTGAAACTGAATACTGGTGTATTTTTTATAAATTGCCTCCTTTAATCACATTTTAGCTCCTTCTGAAATGCCAAGTTCCAAGACTGAAGAGTCCAACACGAAAGAAGTAATAAAGTAATTGGAATCACTATGGAAAATTTGTAAAAATTCTGACTTCTGAGTGCCATCATAACCTATTGAATTGAGATATCTGTTTTGGGGTTCTTAGGATCTGTAATTTAAAAATTTTAAAAGATAGCATATATAAAGAGTGAATATAGAACCTGCACACATTAAAAAGCAATGAATGAACATCTATGTACATACCACCAAGACCAAGAAATACAGCATTAATATGCCTCACAGCCTCTCATTTGCCATTCACTTATCACAACTCCTTCCTTTCACTGAGTAATAACCAATAACCTGAATTACATATTGAACAATGCCTAGCTTTCTATTTGGAGGTTTTATATCTTTATTGTTATTGTGTGTCATCTAATTGATTCCAACTCGTAGTGGCCCTATATGACAGAGTAGAACTACCACATAGGGTTTCCTAGGCTGTAATCTTTATGGCAGCAGATTGCCATATCTTTTCTGCTTTAGAGTCACTGGGTGGGTTCTAACCACCTACCTTTCAGTTAGCAGCTGAGCACTTAATCATTGTGCCTCAGGGCTCCTATATGTAGTCCTAAATAGTACATGTTTAGTATGCCAGTTTTTACGCTTTGTGTAAATATAATTAAATGGTAGGTTTCCCTATGACTACTCTTCACAAAATTATGTTTTTATATAATTAATGTTTTTGTGTATAACTAAAGATCATTATTTCTTTATTGCTATATAATATGCCATTATAAGACTTTGTCACAATTTATTTACCCCTTCTGAGGAGCTCTGTTGGTACAGTGGGTAAGGCATTTGACTGCTAATCAGAAGGTCAGTGGTTCAAACCACCAGCTGCTCCATGGGAGGAAGATAGGGCAATCTTGTTCTGTAAAGATTTATAGCCTTGGAAACTGCATGGGAGTTTCCATGAGTCAGAATCACCTTGATGACAGTGGATTTTTTTTTTCCTGTTGATAGATATTTAGCTATTTCCTTTTTTTTTTTTTTTAATCTATTATCAACAAAGCTTCTATAAACATTCTCTCATATGTTCCTGGCTAAAATGTACAAGTATTGATTTGAGTAATGGGAAGGGCAAAAGTCAGTGATCCACATGGTGGCACCAAGGAAGAGGAAGCCACAGAAAGGTACACAAGAGGTACAGACAACAAAGATAAACCCTTTTACATGTACAATATTGAGTTGTCAGTGATAACAAACATTAATCTACGGGTAAACAGATGGGTAGGTTTGTTGGATGATAAGGTATATCTAGGGAAAAAGGAACATATCCATGACCACATATAAGGTCAGCACACTATATTTCTACATACGTATTTGTACATGCTGTAAGAATGTCCAAACATGTAGTAGCAAACAAGGGGCAGTTAGGATAACTTATTGGCAACAGCCACAACCTGAGGGAGTGAGTAGTTGGACCTGTGGGCTTGGGGTTATGGTCCCAGGGGACATTCAGTTCAACTGGCATAACATACACAAAAACATTGTTCTACAAACCCATCAGCCACTCCTCGGAAGGAAGATGGGGCAATCTACTTCCGTAGTGATACTGCCTCAGAAACCCAAGGAATGGTCGCTATGAGTTGGGCCTGACTCACAGTACATAACAACAACAACAACAACCTACTTTGGTGAGTAGTGACTGGGGTCTTGAAATCTTGCAAGCAGCCATCTAGATGCAACAATGGGTCTCTCCTTGTCTAGAGCAAAGAAGAATTAAGAAAACCAAAGACACATGGAAATAATTAGTCCAAGAGACTAATAAACCATGCGATCCTCAGCCTACATGACCATAAGACTAGAACTAGATGGTGTCCGCTGCCACTGTTAACCACTCAGAGGGAGATTGGTGCAGGAGATCCTGGATAGAGTGGGAGAACGGACAATGTGGAACAAAACTCAAAATCATGAGGAAAGAAAAAAAAAAAAAAAAAGCAGGTTTGCTGTTCTGACAGAGCCTGGTGAGACCATTGGGACTATAGTCCCCAGTTACTACTCTTCAGGTCTGGAGTTGAACTCACTCCTGTGGCTTCCAGCCAAACAAAAGACAGGTATATGGGGTGAACATTTACATCAGGTAGATATACATCTTGGAGTGATCAATCTCCAAAGAACAGAGAGCAGTGATTGCACAATGAGATAGATGGGGGGTGGGGGGTGGGCAGGAATGCATAGGAAAGAAGGACACAGGGAAGAGGTAACTACAGGGAGGAAGTGGAAAAAGAGCTCTTACATTGTGGGGAATTGCAGCTGACGTCATGAAACAAAATGTGTATGAACTGCTGCATGGAAAAGGAATTTGCTCTGTGAACTTTGACCCAAATCACAATTAAAAAAAAAAAACTGTTTTGCTGCACTACTCACAGTAGCAAAATATTGGCAGTGACTTAAACATTAAAAAAATAAAAAAAGAATTTATCTGAGGTGCAACAATTTTTTAGCTATTTCCTTTTAGAGTCTATACACATTAATTAAACTTCTGAGTTGTAGGATATGTACATGTTCAAGTGTATAAGGGAAACCAAACTGTTTTCTGAAGTGTTTAAAACAATTTACATTCCTACCAGCAGTGCGAAAGAGTTAGCATTACTGAACAGTGTGCCAAAATTTGGTATTATCTGACTTTTAAAACTTTGCCTACCTAATAGGTATAAAATGATTTCTAATGTTTTTAATTTGCATTTCTCTGATTACTAATGGGATTGACCATCTGCAGTGCAATGAGTCACTTTTAGATGGCTTTCCAGTCATGGTCTTGTAACTCCCACAAAATGATTAGCTGGGGCTATGCAAATGGAGTGACATCTGGTCTACTGAGATGATTGGTGAGTTTGTAGTCCTGCTGGGAGAATCATGCCTTGAAATTGATGAGGAGTAGATTTAGGCAGTGATTCGAAACACCTAACAACAAACAACAAGGTTTATAAAAGGGCCAATCTCACAGAGGTTGGAGGAATGTAACGAGCATCAGGAAGAGTCTGGAGCAGAGTGCATCCTTTGGACGTGAGGTCCATGCACTTAGAAACCCCTAGACCCAGAAGTTTTAACACTGAGATGGCAAGAGATAGTGGCAGTGGGCTTGCTGGTCCATGGCTTGGAAGCTGAGTGCCTTCATTCATGAGGCTTACTGGTGGAGCTAGAAGAGCTGTAACACTTGCCTATGCAAGGCAGAGGCCTGAGTGTGCCCTGTGCAGATACTGCCTTGGAGGACTCTGTGCAGGAGTCTTTCTACAGCTGGGAGGAGCTGGATATCTCTGGTCAACAGGCTTGCCAACAAAGCTAAAAGGGCTGTAATACTTGCTTTTGCAGGTCAAGAGAAGACTGAGTGTATCCTTTGCAGGGCTTGTATGACTCAACTCCCTCACCCTTAGCAGTGTGGGCCCAGGTAGCACAATGGCAAGAGTCCCACAGGCCTGGGTAGCATGGCTGGAACTGGAGGCAGAGACTTAGAAGGGCCCATCAGAGGCTTAGGAGATTCTGTGCAAGGGTCTTTCTGCTGATGAGGCAAGGCCCAGAAGGCCCAGTGGCAGAACAGTAGCCTCTGGCAGCATGGTGGCAGCTGGAGGCAGCAGTGACATGAACACAGCATCTTCCCTGAATAACAACATACCTGCCTAGCCATGTAAGAACAGACATGGATAATTTAGGATAGGATAAGTGGTTCTCCTTTTGAGAATATGTTGTTATTGTTTACCATTTGCTTTCTATAAATAATAATAATGGCTTTCACTTTGCCAACACTGTTAAGTGTCTCATGTGTCCAGCTTGATCACAGATTAACACAGCACCTGTAGAATGATTGATGCTGGTAGGTGTATGTATCTCATTCCTATCTGTCTAATGGCTGCCTGGAATTTTGAGGCACAGCTTCTCTGCTTGTGCAGTGCAGATAGACAGCAAGTATAGCATCTTTTATGTTTAAGGATCTTTAGTGGTTAGGGTCATTTGAGCTTCCTCTTCTATGAACTACCTGTACTTTTCTTTGGCTGTTTTCCTAGTGGCTGGCTGTCTTTTGCTTATTGGTCTTA